CCCCAAAACCCCAAAACCCCAAAACCCCAAAACCCCGTATGAATGATTGTCTGATTGGATAAATGATGATAACAAAATACTAATCATAATTTTTGGAAAAATATTAATGGAAAAATATCGTAAATTTGATGATGCCTCTTGTGGAATCAATCCATTCGTCCCCCTTCCTGAACAAAAATTGTCCTCAGCTGTCTAGATATTAAGAAATGTACTTCAACTTATCCCTAATCCATATATTATATAGCTGCTAAGTCTAGTTTTATTATTGATAAGGTTGCCTTTCTTGATACTACTCATGGCAATGCTGCTCCTGATAAATCTTTTGAAATACATTGTAAAATCACTCACTTGACTTAAATCTGAACGTATAGTTAGTTGTGCCTATTCTTATCAGAATGGCAGAGAGACTATTCAACTATTGTCTGTGCAAGATGATACTTTCAGGTTTCAGAGCAGGCTAGACTAAAGCTAGCTATCACCCAGAGCATAAAGATTTTGACTTCATGTATTAAACTATTTATTAGACCTTATTTGCATAGTAAAAATGAGAAGGGAGAGCTCAGTGTAGTTGATAAGATTACATCGAATGATGTGATTATTTGCAATAACGTGTCTTTGATTGACTATTTATTCCTTGAAATGGCTTATGCACCTTTATTCACTGCTGTAGCAGTCAATAAGCAAACAGGAAAATATGGGTTTAGGAAGCTGTCTATGCTAGAAATCCCATTTCACGCAATTGGCATTAAATTTCCTCAAGAAGTTGATAGTTCATAATGCTTTGAGAGTTTATTAGCTCTTAAAAATTCGTGCTACGTAAAGAGACCAATTGTTGTGTTTCCTGAAGGTACCAAGACAAATGGCAGAGGTATCTTGAGCTTCCCTCAGGACATTGTTTAAATCTTATTGAATGCTGCTGACTAGGAAAAGTTGACCTTGCATACTTTAAGGTTTGACTATGCTTTCATCTATACCTCACCCTACAACTCAACAGATCCCACTGGTATAAAGACCACTCTTAAACTCTTAGTTCAGGTAAGGGATATCAAGGAGAAATAATGAAAATTATATAGGTTTAAAACAGTATGATGATTCAGTACTACTTTAACTTAGAGGAAAAATTGCGAGAGAACATTAAAACTGAGGAGAAGTACTCATACATAAGAAAAACAATGATGCCTAGGGGGAAGGAGTATTAGCTTCAATTGACCTACCATGACCATCAGCAATTTTTGGATTACTGGTTCGGAACTCAAGATAAATTCTACGTCTCAAAAGACAAAAAGCAGCAATGATTTACAAGTGTTGGAAAGTTAAATTAGCATGAATAAATTTATTAGAGTGTCGTAGATAAAACAGCTCTAATATTCAATCAGAATTAGTATACATGGGGTTTTGGGGTTTTGGGGTTTTGGGGTTTTGGGG